TCTTTCCACAAATTTAACCAATTTTTCATTTCATCGAAACAAGGGAAATGTTTTTCATTCAAATGGGACGCTAAGTTCTTTCAAAAACTCAATTGCCATTTTTGTCACATTTTGCTCGCCTTTGCCTAAAACTAATCAGCAGGTCTTCCCATCAATGCCAATCGAATTTCTTTTAAAACATTCAAATTCAGGTTGATCCGCGTTATTTCAAAATTGTGGACGAAAATGTATATCCGGACATACATACATACATACGTACTAGAGATGGGCTTATCATATCCGAAGCCGGATCGACTCGGATTTGACTCCGCTTCAGGGAGGAGTTATATCCGCTTAACAACTCCACGACTCCGACCACTTTGAAACCGAAATACTCGACACAAATGTGTTCTATAGTGCGTTGTCTATGCATCTAAGGATTTGTCAAATCCCATTTAATTTTTAAAATGAAATTTATGAATAAAATAAAATTAAAAAATTATCAATAAATAATTTTTCTAAAAAATTCACAAATAAATGACAAGTTGTAAAATTTTTCGGTCGACCACATGATCGACTCAATGACTCGTAATTTTAACAGTGCTGACCAAAGTAAAAACGCAAAACTTGAGAATCAAATTTAATTTAATTATTGTCTTTTGATGAAAAAATAATTGATTTTTTGGATTAATTTTATATAAAAATAATGAAGTTAACTTTGTAATAAAAGCAAAACATTTATCATAAAATATTTTTACCAAATAATAATACTTCTGCTTTCTAATTTTTTCTTCTGCTATTTCCATTCGAGAATTAATATTATATCGGGTAGTTCGATCAGCATATTATTACTTTTAAACAATTATATAATTGTGTAAAAGTAAAAATTTAATACTCTATATTTTTTATGCCTAAATACTGTGGACGTCACTGATATATTTTGCACTCTAAAGTATTGTTATTTCAGGCTATGGAAAAACCAGATTAAATGTATTTTTCGGTATGTATATTCCTGATTGCCGTCATTCACTGCCAAAGATTGTCGTCATTAGAAATATGACCCCTTACTATTCAATAAATTATATATCGGAGCTATTCACACTTAAACACAATTTCATTGTTCTGTATCTTTTAAGTAATATTTTTGTATTTTTTGGAAAAAAAACGTATACCTAAAAGGTCATAAAACCGCCTGTGAGACGAGAAAGCGACAGCTTCCTTCTCAAAGCAAAAATGCAGTAACAGATTTAGTACCAGTTTAGGGAAGTCGGATATGATAAATCCGACGAGGCAACTCCACTTGGATTCACTCCGAGGGAGAAGTTATATCGGAGTGATAACTCCGGAGTGAGTTACCCATCTCTAATACATACTATACACACAGATATACATCCATTTTTTAGGTATGCCAAAATGTATAGGAGACTCTAAAACGTAAAAATATGCAAAAAAATTCATTTCTGATTTTTTTTCATTACTGCAACTTATCCTCTGGGAAGTTAAAAATTATGTTTACTAATGATAAATAATATCCGTCTGCTATATTTATAGATATCTATAAATTATACTGATTATAGTCAACGATTAATGAAATATTATTAATTAAATGTGAAATAGAGCAATGGTAAATATAAAATAATTTATAATTTGATCTAAAACTTCTAATAAAATCATGTTTGATATAATTACGTGGGAAGCATTATTTTGAAAAAATTAAATATTTAAAATTGTAGTAATGAATAAATATAAGGGTGTTCTTTGATAAAATTATTAATAGAGTTGTATGCCAAGACAGTGAATACAGAACAATAAAATGTGCCTTTGATAACTAAATCTAATACATGTTGTGTAAATCATATAAAAGTTGATAACATCTGAAATAACGCTGTAAAAATGCGATATTAGATGGATTACTACATACATGACATTCTCATCTAAATTCCTGGTCAACAACGAAGCGCCTTTTCCGTAATTCTAAATCATTGGTTATGTCGCCGTCTTTGTGCCGCATGACCTCTTGCGATACACTTTACGATGGTTCGTCGTGGGCAGCCGCCGAACGCGGAAGAAGGGCGCGCGGTCGGGCTGATACGCTCCCGCCGCGCGTTTCCGAGCCCAATGCGTCCAAAATTTCACGGGTACCAGATCTTGGTTTACGAAACCCACCAGTACCTGCTGCTACACATACGATGAAATGCGGCTCTTCGCACAGCAATGCGTGGCTATGTTTGAGGTCGCAATTCGCTAATGGACTTATCACCAGGAACTTCGACGTTGGGGTTCGACTGGTTCTTGGGTAGGGCTGTTGAAGTATTCAAGCAAACAAAGATTATCATTATAAGAAAAAACACTTTCTACTGACAACGAGTTACTGCTCTATTCTATTAAATATTTTTGAACAAAGTCATATACATGTTATGCACCAAAGTTAAATGTAAAATCTATGGTTTTACAGTGGCATTTGTATAGTGTTTATTGTATTTATTTGTGTTCAGATTATTTCATTAAGGCCATAATATTGTGCCAAAGCTTATATGATTTTTAGACTTATTTTGAATTAATAATAAAATTATATTAAATTAAGGGGTGTTTTGTTCTAGAGACATTACGCGATTTTTTGAAAAGTTCTAAAAGGCTGTAAAAAAACAAACAATATTTTTACTGTATTTGTTTGCAAGTTATTGATTAATGTTTTAAGATTATAAAGAAGATGTAAAAATTCTCATAAATTTTTAATTCTCGAGAGTGTTGAAGTAAGGGATCTCTAAATGTTAGCATCTGATCATATCACTAGTTTTAGCGCTCCAAATAATCTGAAATATCAAGATATTATTAATCTAGAATAATGTCGCGTCTGTATGAACTACGGACAAGTTATAAAAATTTTTTCACAAAATAGCAACTGTCATAAAATATTTTTTACAACTTTTTTTGATGTTCTAGATTTGTTTTTAAATGTTAAAAACCAAATTTGTAGATGAGCGTAGTGCATTGTATCATAGGAATCGTATTGAAATAGATAGTTTCGAGAAAAAAGTATTTAAATTTTTGCGGCGGAAAGAAACAGATCAGGATTATCGTCGTCAAACAGCTATTTCTCCGAAAAGAATTTAAATTTTACATATTCTTGAACTGTTAAGGGGGTATTCTAGTATAGAGCGATGAATTTTAGGTCATTTTTAAAGTGTCGTAAAAGAAAGCAATGAATGTTTTTACTATCCATTTTTTACCACTTGTTTATTAATATTAATAAAATACAAAACAAAAATTAAAAAGTTGAAAATTGTAAAAACTGGCTGCTGATGAAATGGGTGGGTGGTCTCAAAAAATTGGCACCTCAGTCTTGACATCATTACTATCAAAAGATTATTAATCTACAATGATGTCGCAATCGCCCGAACTAGCGATGAGAAATTTTTTTTACAAATTGGCGACTGTTTGAAAAATTGTTTTTTTACTGTTATTTTGAGTTTCTCGAATTTTTTAAAAATAGTAAAAATTGGA